TCAGTCCCACGCCGCCACATTACACTTCACCTTCGCTCTGCGGCAGCGAAACGGGAGAACGCTGCGCCCATGATGAGGACGGCGGCCTCACCTCCTGATGCTTCACTGCCCAAATAACCTTTCGGCGTCCGCCAGCAGGACCTGCACGACGGAGCGCTAACCACGGAAATAGGAGCAAATTTCCACCAACACCCTCTAACATTAATTTCAGAAATTTTAAAAACATGCACATTTCTGAGCTACAAAACTGAAAAATTTGCATGGAAAAAAACTTGAACATTTTGAATATTTAATCTCAAGAATTTTGTTGAAAAAACTTTGAGGTTTTTCAGGTTTTTATTAAAAAAAATAGAAATCTTAAATTCAAATTTAAAGGTACTTTATTGATCCCAAAGAGAAATGAAATGCAACTGGTATTAATCCTGGTTGTTGGCAGGATACATTTCCTGTAGCAGTCTGTGTTCATTTGAAGAAGCCTCTGACTGAAGGCACTCTGTTTTCTAAGAAAACTTAAAAACCTGACAGTTTTTGCTTATGAAACGGACCGGCCGTCTTTCCATAACAAAGGATAATTTTTAAATAATTTGATGAAGAATAAAAAACAAACATGGTGAAACTCCAGGAGTTTGTTGGATGTTTATTTTTCTAAACCACATAGTCGACGTTCAGGCATCATTAAGACTTAAACTACAATTAAAAGAAGAAACAAATGTCACATTGTGCAGAATTTCTCTGGATATTTAAAGACAAAATGAAATCAGAGAGAAAAATCAGCTTCATGCTGCAGGAAACATAAACTTTTACCGACTGAGAAAACGACGACTCAGATTCCCTGAGAATAATTCAGTTCAGCAAATTATCAAATTTCTAAAGAATTTTAAAGAATCAGACAATTTACTGAACATTGATTCATCTGCTTCAGTCCTGAAATTTATTAGAACTTTTTTATTCACTTTGTTAATATTTCATGTTCCCAACGTCTATATTTTTAACAATGTTAATTTATTTTTATGTCATTTCAGCATTTTAGTGAACTTAGATACTTTTATTTGACTTTTTCTTATATTTCAGTTTTATTCATTTACTGGTTTCAAGTGTATTTTAGATGATAAGTTCATTGAGTTACAGTGATATTCTTTTATGTCTATATTAATATTTGTTCATTCCCAGACTTTTAGAAATAATTTTAACCCAAAATAATCAGAAAAACTAAAAGAATGAAGCAACAAAGTAACTGAAACTCTAAGTTACATTAAATAAACTGAAAAATATGTAGAAAGATGAAGGTTCACATCCTGAGACTGGAAGCTGATAAAAACCAAACTGATCTATTTTATAGCTGAACTGAGCTACAATCATTAATCTGTTTAATTTCTCATTGTGAAATTATTAAAACTGATTTATGGTTGTAGTCTGAGGTTTCAGTAATAATCTGAGTCAGATTAGGAGCGTCGGCAAACCTCAGCGATCAGAACGGATTCAGCAGCCGAACGAGACGGAGGCTGCAGGAGGAGGAAAAGGAAGAGGCAGCTTCAGCAGCAGCAGCTTCAGCAGCAGCAGCTTCAGCAGCTTCAGCAGCTTCAGCAGCAGCAGCAGCTGCAGGAGAGAGTTTATGTAGAATGCCATTGTTGTCAACCTCAGCTAACGTTGAGCATGCACAGCTCACCTCCGTCGTTTCATGATTGTTTTTGCTTTATTCACAGAAACGTAGAGCAGATGGCCAATCTTCAAACTTTGTGTGTAAACAGCAGCAGCGGCTGCAACTTAAAACAACAAAAACAGAAAAACATGAATGCATCTGAGCAGAATCACATGTGGTTCCAGGGATTCTCCTCACCACCCAAACCTGGTTAAACTGGAATTTGATGTAAGAAAAATACGGAAGAAAAAATCCTTCTCAAATTCACTGCCACCAACAAACATTATGACACTTTCCATTTGCAATAATCGCAGTAATTTCAGCAGGTGTCGTTTTTTGCTTTTTTAACTGCAGCTCTGGCGCCCCCTGGTGATCACAGAAGGAGGCGCTTCAAAGCCAAAAATGGGGTTTGTTATTTCCATCATAAACTCTTGTGGGATCTGATTTCTTGGACTCGATGTCTTTCGATAAGTGGCAAATGGAAATCAGCCAGCATGTCGCTCCTCGTCATTTTAAAAGCCCTTAAAGTGCAGCCATGAGAGTGAAAACACCCGGGCTGAAACACGGCCCACAAGACAAAACAGAGAGACGCCAACAACCAAAATTGTAACAACATGAGCTCATCTTCCAGAAGGAAACAAGAGACGAGAACAGGCAGCGATAGGGAGAGGAGAGGGACATCCACTGCAGGCTGACTGGCTGTTAGTGGTTTGCAAACCAGATGAGACATTTTAACTAATTTCATTGTTTGTGAAAGAAATCATTCTGATCAAACCCAAATTGCTGCCAACTGGCCGCCTGGCGAGTCTCCGCCTAATGCGGCCTGACGTGTCGAGTAAGAGGATCCGGAGGGGGAGGAGGCCGTACGCGCGGCCGACTTCAAACGGCAGGAAGTGTAAAAACAGGCGGCGTTAGTGGCTGAAGCAGCTAACAGCGGATTAGAGGAAGTCCACTAAGTGGCCCTGAGATGAAGGAAAAAACGGTTTTAAACGGTAGGCTGATTAAAAAGAAAACATGAAAGTTATGTTAGACTTTGTTTATTTTACTGCAAGAGGCACGCAGTAGGACTCCAAATATAAATGTTTTATGGGTCAAAGTTCGGCTGAAACGATTCATCAATTATTGAAATAATCGATTAATTAATTAATTAATTAACTGGCGTTTCAGATAAAAAAAAACATTTGTTGAAACATTTAAAGTTACAAAATCGTGTGTAAATCTGTTCTACCCAAAACTCTACAAATTACAGAAAACATTTTTATCTTAAATGCTAAATGTATATTTTTTTGTAGTTGTGACATAATTTTGGCTGAGTGTGTTGTTCTTCAAGCTGATGGTCCTTTTCTTAGTCTGTATACTCCATTAATTAATCGATTTCAAAATCAGTTGACGATTACTTAAATTACCGATTAATCACGACTAATTTGACTAATTATTGATGCAGAAAGGTGGAAACAGATCAAAACTCTGCGATATAATCTTCAGCCTTTATGTTTTCTGCTGACAGAAATCTCTCTGCAGCTCAAATGAATCCACAAATTCATATACGGAGGACCAAAAGTGCAAAAATATTTTTAAAAAACAGCTAACGAGCAAAATGACAACATGCTTAAGTAAAACCACCACTGTTTTTGTTTGTTTTTACTTTTTTAACCTTTGATAAGAATAATTTTACTTTTTACGCTCACTATGACAACTGTGTTAGTTTCTTGTTTTGATTGTAGTTTTATTGACAAAACTACTAGTTATTTCATAGCCTTTATTTGTTTTTAGCAGGACAAATTTGGGATCATTAAGAAACAACAGATGAAAATGCATTTTGGCTAATGAATGCATTTTTCCAACCAAATAAAATAAACGTTATTAAAAGCAATCCCTCACAGTTGATACATTTGGCTTCTGTACTCAGTGTCGCTGTGATGGTGCATTAACTGATAAGAAAAATGTCAGATTTTTGACTCAACATTTTAGGAAAAAATTCTAATAAAAGCATTCCTCAGAAGAGGCAATATGAAAACCAGCATAAAGCCACAGACCTGATTAAACGTTTTAAAGTGCAGCTCCTTGAAGATGGCGTCGCGGTCCTCCACCTCCATCCAGCCCGTCGCCCGCAGCTCCATCACCAGCTGATCCCGGTCAGCCGGGCTCAGCCAATGAGAGTCTGACGACTGGACACAGCAAGCCAGTCTAATTATTAAAATCAAACATTTTAACCACCAAGTTCAGGTTCAGTTTTACTGGATTTCCTTCAGAATTATAACTGCAGAGCAGCAAAAGCCTAGTGGCGACTGTCAGGGTAACTCTGCTCATTTCTGCTCATTTTGGGATTTCCTCTGCAGTTCACAGTGCTTTTCCAAAAAAAAAGTCATTTTTAGACATTTTGGTCATGCAAAGATATATTGTTTATGCTTTTGTGATGAGGAAATGTTTGCACAAATAATATCTGTATCATTTGCGATATTTTTTGTTATGAGAGACTACCTACTTTTAAGTTATTCTTTATTCTGTAAATAAAACATGACATATGTTGTTTTGGTTAAAATTACTTCAATAAAAGGGAAAAATTAACAGGACTCATTTAAAAATACTTATCTAAATATTTCTTTTTCAGATTTTTTGTAAGGCTGCTATAAATGAATATTTTAGTCATCAAGTCCAATTTTTCATATTTGCGCCTCCCTAACAACAAACTTTTCTATAGTTTAGAAAATTAACTCGTAACAATAATAGCTCACTTTCCAAGTTAACCTGAAGTTAGACAAAATCCGAAATTATATTCAGTTCAATAAAAAGAGCAGGCTCACCAATAAGCTTATAAAAATATCTCTACTCCTAATCTGATTTCTTCATTAAAAGAGAAAGCTATCATGTTTCTACAGTATGTGCGCATCTCTGGATACAGAAGATAATGTAATATTTAAATTAATTAAGGCAAGTGATTTATGATCAAGTGAGTGTCCTTTGTTAGACTGGAAGCTGCTGCATCATGAGATGTTATTAGATATTAGATAACGCCAGTCTAAACGATGGAGTAGTTTTATTTTGTGGACACCTGACTGCAGTTTGTTTGTTCTCCACCAGGTGGCGGCGTTTCCCTGTAAATATGCACCTGTCAAAGCTGCTGGTCACGTTTCCTAATAAAATCTTAGCTACTATTTCAGTTTCAGTGCTTTTACTTTGTCATGCATGTTTCTCTGTATTTTATTGTGATGAACTCCTGATATTTTGATTTTAAATGTATTTTTCATCGCGCTCTAAGTTTCTTAAATTGTGTATTTAGTTCCTTATTCTCAAACTTTATCATAAAATTAACAGAAACCCGGAGAGATTTTAAATAAATGTTACACTAACATTACAAAAGAAAACAATAAAATGAATTTAGAGTAGTTCCTAAGATGTTTTTCGTCATGACAAACAAACGCGACTTGCGCCGCTGGTTCTCCAAACTTTCCCCGCCAAGAAACGCCGAAGGTGGGGAAACAAACCGGCGCCCCGCTGCTCTCTCACAGCAGCTAGTTAGCAGCAATGCTAACAGGAAACCGCGGCTGTCGCGCTCACCATTTTAGAGTCGATTCTGTGGAGCGGAGGTTTCCTCGGGCGGCTGCAGGACCGAAAGCTGCTCGTCCTCAGGATGGACGCGAACGCAAACATGTGTTTTCTTTATTTACCTTTTACAGCCTGTTCTGCGCAGACGCGCGTCCTCCGAGGTCCTGACTCATGTTCAACATAGCTGTTCACCTCACTGCCTGATCAAAATCACCCGAAAGGAGTCAGCCTACACAAAAACTAGTAAAATATAATAAAAAAAGGAAATGTATACGCGTAGTTATTAAAATCATTTGTTTATGGTAATAGAAATATTTCATTTACTTTTTGTTTTACTTTTACATCTGAACATTCAGATAAAATTTCAGAACATTCATTCTCACAGGTCAATTAATTTACTTTATTTCATATTTAAATTACTTATTTCACATTCGTGTTGTTATATTACTAATGGTATATTTATATTTACCAATAACATTGTGGATGGGAGTAGCTTCTCAAAAAATAAGCAATTTTCTAGGGGATCAATAAAGTGTATTTAATTTTCTATATGTATTAGTAATCCATTTCAGCAACAAAACTGCTAGGAAATGAGAAGGATGTAAGGGAGGTTAAAAATACCTATATATACATATATATCATAATTTATCCAGACCAGAAAACAGTAAAAGCATAGTAAGTTCATTTCTGATCAGTTTTGTTGCTGAAATCTTGACTTGTTATGAAATTACTTATAAAATGGAGTTTCTTTCTTGAATTCATAAGAAGACAAGCACGTAAAAACATTTCTACTTTATTTTTTGTTTGTAAAGAAATTGAGGTGTGACTAACATGCATCACATTTGCTTTATGTGATTTGAACTTTGAACTAAGATTATTGCCCTCTACTGAGAGGAAACCAACTCAAAAGCTTTGAAATATTTCCATGTTTAAAACATAAACCACAACATTTCACATATTTTATTTGAATCTAAAACATTTTTGAATGAAAAACTTTGCAGTGTGATTATTGTGTTTTCAGTCCTGGTGTTCGTGCTCCTGTCCCGGTATGAGCCAGCGCAGGCTGTCCGCCGCAGGATGGCGTAGACGATGAAGGCCGTGATGAAGAGGATGGAGAAGACAAGGAGCCAGTCGATGCCTCTCACCGGGATGCTGGACAGGGGCCCATCCGGTCTCCCTCTGTCACGTCTCTGTTGGGGCCCGCTTCAAACCCTGAAACCAAAACATTCTGCTTTAATCTTTTATCTAAATTTTTTCTTTACACGTCAGAAAAGTCCTCAGGAATATCAACATTAAACTTCACAACATCTGCTGAGAAATTGACCTTAAGCAATAAAATTTATTCATATTACATAATTGCTCCTGTCAGAAATTTTAGAAGTAAAATATTGCAGAATAAACTCTTATTTTGAAAGTAGAGATCCTGTGATAGGGATTTCCAGTTTTTTTTATCTGAATTTGACTCAGTTATATTCTTTATTCATAGAAGAAATTGAACAGAAACTTCTTTGAAGTTCCAAATAAGTTTAAATTTAACAGGAAAAGAAGAAATTAAAAGACAATCCCAATTTATACATCAAAGCATACGTCTCTGACTTTTATCTTTGCTTTATCAAACTAAAAAATAAAGACAAAAACATGATTATTGATTTATTCATCACTCAATTTTTTCTAAAGCAGCAATAAGTCCTGTACAGAATTATAAACAATAAACAAACAATGAACAAAACAATTCAATCATCAATTGTAAGAAAAAAGTATCGACAGAGCAGAAAAATGTATGGACCAAAAATAAAGTGAATATAATTTTCTATACATTTAATAACAGGAGAAAACATTGATTTATTTTAACCCAGAACCGATCAAGAGGCAGCCGACCGACTATTGATCAGCTCATCGGTCAAAGATGTTTTTCACAGCTTAAATCTGCATCCATATACAGATCACGCACACACACACGCACGCGCCCCCTGCTGGCTCTACCTGTCTGGTTGCTGATGAAGGACGTGAGCATCTGCAGCGTGCGGTCCGTGTGGTTGAAGCGAGCCATAGGTTTGGCCCCCTGAAACAGCAGGATGTTGGGAACAGCCACCGTCCCAAACCTGGTGGAGAGACTGGCAGCGAAACACAACCGGGAGAAACGTTCAAGAGACGGAACCGGAAACACAACTTATGGTTCCCGATGTAATTATGACTAATGTATCAATTTCAACATTAACCTCATGATTAATTGCCAATTAATGTTTTATTAGATTAAAATGAATTCTAATCGATTACCGATTAGTCAGTGTTTGGAAGTTAAGCGACAGAGTTGTAGTACAAATAATAATAATTCAACATGTTTCTACTCAAGTAAAAGTAAAAGTATCCGTCCAAGAAATTACTCAAGAAAGAGCAAAAAACTATTTGGCAGAAAGTGAACTGAAGTACTGAATAACTGATCAAATTATCAATCGTTCAAGATTTAAAAATTACATCATCAGACGGACAAAAATGTAAAGTGAAATTTTGTTATTTTAAGATCCAAATGACAATAAATCATATAAGTAGCAAAAATGAACCAAATTAGGCAAAACTAAAATTTTCCAATTCATTTTCTTTCAAAAAAGAAAATATGAAAGTAATAAAAAAATGAAGGCATGTCTGGTGAGTTTTTGGTTAAAAAACCAAAAACAGTGGGAAGAAAATCCAGAAGTTAAACTTAAGTAAAAGTAAAAAGTACAACATGATAAAAATACTCCAAACAAATATTTTCAGCTCAACTGTCTGCAAGACAAAGTGATTCCTGCTGAATAAGTTGCTCATTATTACGTCTGTTGTGAAGAAAATGTCTAGTTTGTAGTTTGGCTCAAACTTTGTTCATTCAAACTGAACTCAACAATCATAAGGAAACTAAGCCACAGAGTAAATAAAGCTAAAATGAATCGTGTTTTTAAACGGAGACGCGGCCTCAAGAGGTTACATCCACCTGCTGTGCTGCGAAGCATCCAGGGCCAGGAAATGCATGCTGGGAAAACGCGTGGCAGGGCGTGAAGTGCGGCGCCAGTTTGGCTGAGAACTGACACCAGGCTGTGAAGAACAGAACCACAGAGCACTCTGTGCTGTTGGTGTTAGAAAATCCATCAGGTCCTGGAAGACAGGAGGAAATCCTCACTTGCTGCTCAGTTCCAGCAAAAACTGTGAAGTTTTACTGGCTGGAACGGAAAACAAGCACATCAATCTCTGGAAAATATATGAGCTGAATGGCAAATTTAGTATTGGAATTAGTATTTTAAATTAGACAAAACTAAGTGACAAGTAAGTTTTCGTCAAGATAAAAGAAAACGTTTTTGTTAATAGACAGATGATTTCACTTCAAACAAGATGTTTTCCCATGTTATAATAATCTGCCAGACGAACTCGAACTTTTTCATCAATACTAAAAATAACTGACTTGAAACAAGCTCCTGTTTTTAATAAAAAGTTACTTGTAAGTTAGTTTTGTATTATTTCAAACTTGCTGAGGTATTTTCACTAGAAACTAGACTAAAGTGGCTCGGTGATGTTTTGTGTTGCATTTTGACAGATTTCACACCGAGGAAGGGAGAGGTACCTGTGAGGAGTTGAGGACCTGAACAGTGAAGCTTCCAATCCTGTGATGTTCCTCCTGTCACAGTTCACTTTATACGTCTTTGCCGTCTCTGTGGTGTTCGCTTCTCAGCTGGAAGTTCTGCAGGGGACCATCTCCAGAGAGACCTGGAAGTGAAACAATAAAAATAAAGGTTCTGTGTGATGTTCAGTCACTTTCACAGCAGCGTGTATTTTCAGCTGAAGAACCTGCTGCATGATTCTGCTTCGGCTCCTCCAGCAGCTCCAGGTCTTCGGCCTGCGCAGGCGAGACGCACCGATCGCCGTTCCCGTCACAGGGGGGAGAGAAGCCCGACGGAAGTCCTTTGCATTCCTGGGAATCAGCGATTCGATGTCAGACGGATGAATGGGGGTTTCAGTTCTCACACCGCGTCTGCGATTTCAGCCGTTTTAAAACTGCTTCTGGGCAAGCGTCCAACTCCTCTGACTCAACAAAGCTGGGTTTATTCTCCAACTCCTCTGACAGGACAACCTGAGCAGCCTCATCCGGTCCTGGAGAAAAACAGGAGATATGTCACTCAACATTTCTAATGTGGTTCAGTCAGAAACATCTCAAGAGAAGAAGTTCCTCAGGAAAACCATCACAGCTTTAAAGCTGCAGGAACTTTGGTTTCCCAACACTGACACCAACATCTATGCACATTTTCACTATTTATTATCCTCTGCTCGTATTATCTTATTTAGTCTTGTGTGCCTTTGTGTGGTAACAACTATCTGATCATGAAGTGGGTAAAATATGAAGGCATTTTATTAAATTAGCTTAAGATATTAATGAAAAATGGCGTCCCGTACAAGACGATAAATTGGCTTTACCAGAAATATAAGCAACACATAACCTTTAATTATTCCTTCTATCTTAACATAATCGTCGGTTAATCTTCAAGCATCGACAGTTAGCGTCCTACCTGCTGCCCGGGCCGACAGACTCAACATGGCGGCTCCGCGGAAAATACACAACAAACAAACGTCATCAAACGTTTCCGATACTTTTCGCCACATTTTTGAGTTTTTAAGATTTCCAGGCTGTCAGAGAACAGATGATGGGCTCATTATGATGAGATATGAGAGCACATCTTTCCTAGGAACTAATATTTCACACTGCGGCGGAACTATATAAAGGATACACCGCTAAGTTTAACTTCCGGCGTAACGCAACCTTTGTTTACGTAAAGAATTAATGATAATACATTCTAAACAATATTTTTGCATATTTTAAAGGAGAGGCACATTTTATCTTACCTTTCTCTTTCCAAATAAATGTTTACTTTTACTTTATATTTAACTTTGTAGATTGAAAGATTCTTAAATATGTCAATAATGATAATTTTGGCAGTTATTATTTCTGTAACATTTATGTACCCTCTCCTCATTCCTCTGTATTATTCTCTGTTTGCTGATATTGCATATTTGTTGTGTACAACATCTTTTTATGTTTTTATTCAAACTAAAGTATATTTTATGCTTATGGGGAAATAAAAACTAACAGGAGCCTCAGATTATGTCAGTAGAGCATTTCTTCTTTCATT